GGGAGCCAGGTCACTGTGTGTGCTGGAGGCACAGAGAAAGGGGAGTCTTTTATTTGTTCAAAGGCAGAAACAACGTTTCTTCAACAATTAACACAAGGTCCGCTTGTATTCCAGCAAGCAGAACAGATCACATAATCTCACCGACTCCAGGTTGTCGCACCTCTTGCTTGACTCTCAGACTGGTCCTTAAGCGCACACCATGTGTGCTAAATTCCCCAAATATCACAATGGCTACACAAACACCCCTCTATTGCACCATAACAGAGATAATCATGGCTCCTAAAGGCCATTACCAAACAAAAACATATGCCAGCAATGTACAACGAGTGTACATGAAGCAGGCATCTGCAGTTGCTGTACAAAAAAAAACTTACATTTTTTGTTAGCGGCCTTCTTCATATCCTCATAGAAATAACCACCTTTGTGCTGTGCCAAGCAATGCGTGTATATTACCAATGAGCTCTCTCTGTGAGCTCTCCACCCCCATTCATAGTGGCAACCCCCCTCCCCCGAACAGTGTAATGTGTGCAAAGTCAGAGCTGGTGTTTAGTGATAGTGTTAAACAGAATCACAGACTTACAAAAGGTGGAAATGGACTTTAACCCTTTCTTTTTTTTTCTATTTTATAAATATTTTAACAATTACTACCGCACTCATATACATTAAGGATGAATAGCACAACATATTTGAATGCAGCACCTTAAACATACGTTATGTAATTATGTTTTGCTAATAAGGCTTGTATATGGTTTAAAACAAATTGCAGGTAAAACTGAAAAAATCTAATAATTTAAATGCTTACGTGCGGTGTTTTCCTTTCCATAAAATATTATTTTTTCACTTGCAATGTGCCTTTAAACTTGCAAGAAATTTTGACTACTCCAGGAAAAGTCCCTAGCACAGTCCCCTCTCTCCTGTCTAAGAGTGTCCAAGTACTCTCTACACTGGCCCAGCTCCTACACGCTCCTCACCTTTTGTAGCTGCTGAGGAAGGAGCTAAGGGGGATACTTTAGAGCAGTGGTTCTCAACCTGTGTAACCTCAGGACCCACATTTGTCCTTGGTCATTAAGTTGTGACCCAAGTTGCACTGCAAGGGAATGCACGGCATTGCGGTACCGCACGGCCCGGTGCGAACGATTGAACTGTTGGGCTGGAGGTGCATTTGGGGTGCTATTCAAATGAATGGCCGCACAAAGCACCTCCCACACTGTAGTAGCTGTAGCATGCTACAGTGCGTTAATCGCACATGATTGTTCGATTAACCCTCTTTACTAGTGTAAATAGGCCCTCAAAAACACTGACAGACACACAACCACAGATCCACCCAGTCTCCCTACCTTACGAGAACTGGAGTGGATCCTAAGCCTGGGGTCCAGTGTGGGCTGCTGTGCTGTGACGGAGCTCCATCCATATGTGCAATGCTTGTACAACCCCCTTGCGCGCCCTGTAGAAATGGCGGGAGCCAGAACGTGACGTCACTTCGGTCCAGGCAACTCTACAGGCTATGCGAGGGGATTTTTAAGCAATGCACAAATGGATTGAGCTCCCTCGCAGCCACAGCCCCATCCCATCTCACCTCAAGCTGACACTCTGCGCCAAGCAGCATATAAATGGCTGCTTGGCGCGGGAACTGACAGTGCTGTGTAAGGGAGGGCTGAGAAGCCTCTCACCTAGAAAAGAGGAAGGCACGCCGCGACACACTGAACACAGGGTCGCGACCCACTTTTGGGTCACGACCCACCAGTTGAGAACCAAGGCTTTTGAGTGTCACTTGGGTAACATCTCCGAGTCTGCTGGAACGCTAACATCACATCCAAAATGATGGCAGCATTAGTCTATGGGCATTTGGATATATACACAAGCTAGGCTTTTAGGTGAATAACGCGCATAATCTTATAGGAAGATGTTTGTTGAAATGAACAGTCTGGCAACAGAGTCTCTTTAACTCTTCTAACAAGAAGATATGATATTATAAGTGACAACAATCATGGCTTCGTAAAAGGCTATTACTTTGAAACCAACCTCCTAGCATTCTATGAGGAGGCAAGTGCCAACCTGAATGGAGGAAAGCCAGTGGACATCATATACCTTGATTCTGTAAAAGAATTTGATACATGTACCACATAAACGCTTAATATACAAACTAACATTTTTGGGCATTGATGAAATGGTGTGTACATAGATAGGGAACTGGCCACGGGAATGTGTCCGGGGAGTTTTTATAAATGGTTTATATTTTAAGTGGTCTGTGGTTGGCAGTGGTATGCCCCAGTGTTCTATTTTAGGGCCAATGCTAATTCAACTAAGAGTATTGACTCATTAAAGTACCTTATAGATGCTTTCCACAGAGAGCACAATATACAGGGATGCATGTACTCTTAGTAACACACACCACACTCGGAAGTAAAAATTGATGGACCTGTGTATTTATTCAACCTCAGCAACTATGTAACCATGTAAAAAAACGCCACGTTTATGACATATGTACAAATGTGGACAATGTGAAAAATCCCAGGTTATTTATTATACACAAACACAGAATGCCAACCTTGTGGATAAACCGGTCATGAGAAAAATCCAGGTGCCATCTCTACACTCTTCTCCTTCTAAAATGTTGCCTGGCTGTCATGCCAACCTTCTTACTTCAATACAATGAGTTGGTGTCCATATACAGATAAGGGTTTCTAACCGTTTTCCTCACTGTTATGGGTCAGTGACCTTTGTAAAACTTTGAAAGTAGTTAGTCAGCATGAAAGTGAGACAACTAGTATCATTAACCAGTTGACATCCGCGGTGTTAAACCCCCTTCCCATCCAGGCCATTTTTCAGTATTCAGCGCTGCGGTACTTTAACTGACATTTATTCCGTCATGCAGCGCTGTACTGAAATGAATTTTATACCCTTTTTTGGGGACAGATAGAGCTTTCTTTATCAGTTTTGGTAAATTTTGACTCATCAGTCCAGAGCTACTGCTGCCATTTTTCTGCACCCCCCTATGTTTTCATGCATAGTTGAGTCGCTTAGCCTTGTTTCCATGTCAGAGATATGGCTTTTTGCCGCAGAAAAATGTCAGCAGGTGCTCTGGACTGTTGAGTTAAACTTTTAAATATTTGGCTGTAGCAGGAGGCAGTTTGTTTGCCGAAGGGCTGAAGAACGGTACAATGAAGAGTGTCTGCAGCAATAGTGAAGCACGGTGGAGGTTCCTTGCAAGTCTGGGGCTATAATACAAGCAGATACTTATCCATCATGCCATACTATCAGAGAGGTGTGTAATCGGCTCCAAATTTACTCTGCATCAGGACAATGACCCCAAACATACAGCCAATGACATAAAGAACTATCTTCAGGATAAAGAAGAACAAGTACTCCTGGAAGTGATGGTTTGGTCCCACACAGAGCCCTGTTCCCAAAAATGGAGTCTGTGTGGGATTACATGAGGAGACAGAAGAATTTGAGGCAGCCTACATCCACAGAAGATCTGGGGTTAGCTCTCCAAGATGTGTAGAACAACCTACCTGCCAAGTTCCTCTAAAAACTGTGTGCAAGTGTACCTGGAAGAAGGCAAATGGTGGTCACACCAAATATTGATTTGAATTTCTATTCTGTTCCTTTACTTTCCATTTTGTTAATTGATAAAAATAAAACTATTAACACTTTTTTCTGAAAGCATTTCTACTTTTACACCTGCCTAAAACTTGTGCACAGTACTGTATATCTTTGGACAAGTTTGGAAACTAGTAAGCACACATTTACTTTATTATATCCAGAGTGCCCTAGGACCCCCAAAAGTCTCAGTGCTCAATTTATAAGCTGTGACCAGGGTTGGCATGCGCCCATTCTGGTGTGATCCCCACACCTTCCAGTAAAAAAAAATTTCTTCTTTTATTCCCCAGTTTCATTGTTATGTCCTCCCAGCAGGTTGCAACACCGCCATTTTTTTTTGTTATAAAAACTCATTGATGACTAGCTTCTTCTCCTTTTGTCCCTGCCTGCCAACCAATAACGCTTGTGCATTACACCTCATCTGTAAGTGGTTTCTCCAGGAGATTACACAGTTTACAGACAAGATCTCCCTGAAAGGCACTGGTGATACCTTTCCAGAGGGGCAGCTGTGAGGCCATAGCTACGTCACCAGAGCTTTAAGATATCTACAATCTGCAAGCACCAAGGATTTTATGGAGGGGGAGTAGTCTGCTTTAGGGCTTGTTCACACGATGTCCGGACCAGATCTGCAGACGCGGTGCTTTGCGTTTTTGACGCGTTCGGGGTTTTTTATGGTGGGAGTGGGGCTGTCAGCATGCGTTTTTGGACCGGACAAATTGTGACATGCAGTGTTTTTTCTGTCCGGACCGGAACGAACTGCACTCGTGAGAACTGTAGTCCATAAAACACATAGGAATACATTGGGATGCATTTTTAGTGCAGGAGCGCAGAGATCTGGGCCGGACAGAATCCGGACGTCGTGTGAACAAGCCCTTAAACTTTACCTGGCTCACCAGCTGAGAGGCCTGCTCCCCTCCCGCTACTGACTACCAAATGCTATGAGTGGCCCTACAGAGCAATAGTGAGTCATGGAAACTGCAGCAAACTCCTAACAGAGGTCACTGTTTGCATAACAGAACCCCAAGTGTTGGGGCTCCCAGAAAAAGATGGAGGTGCCTGCTAAAAGGGCCTACTGACACTTTACAGTGTGGGTAAACTTTACAATGTCAGCAGGGATTGAGAAAATACACTGAAATTTATGGGCCGTTAGAAAAGGAGGAATTCTGTTTACTTATCGTTATTACTGATGTGAAACTCCATCTTCCAGAGCAAGGACTGTGTAACATGAACAGAAGAGCTCTATGAACACAGTAGTGATATTCATATTAGTCAGGGTCCCCTCACATGTCACACTTGCCCAGGTCTGCTCCTCCCATCATGTGTCACTCACACATATACCAACAAGTCATGGATTGTACACAAACAGCTGCATGTGTGTTCATGAGGCCGCATCTTACCATCCTTCCTCCTCACCCAGGGAGGAACACGTCACCTCTGCCATGGTCTACCGCTCTTCTCACCCCGATCACTTCTCACCAGTTACACAAGAGATTCCACAACTCTGCTCATTAAAATCTTCATTAATTAAGGTCTGTCCGGGTGCACTGACACCTCATCTGGTCGCGCACGACGCTGGCTAATGACACAAAGTACAACAATAGGTGACAAACTCCGCCAGCCAATAGGAGCTCATCGGCTTTCCAAAAACTAGCCAATCATTGCAGACGTGGTGGCGCCACGGGAGCGACGGCGGGTGTGAGAAGCCGGCGTCGCCATGATAGGTATGGGAAAGTCGCCAGGAACGCAGAAAGTCGGTGGAAAGAGTGTGTTGCTGTTATCACGGTTTAGCAGCATGTATTAGTGTTCAGAGGCGGCACAGAGCAGAGTTCGAAACAAGCCATTTTACATGTTATAGCAATCTCTAAGTATCACAGTGCATTTCCCCTGTGATCTATTCCACAAACAGAAAAAGCTATACTGTTTGTATAGAACAGTGCATAGAGAAATGCACAGTGATTTCTTATTAACACTGTGTTTTTTGCCCTATATAAGCAATGGGCATACGTTTGCTAATATTTTTGAGCTTACACATGCAATAATTACCATTAGCATTCCTCCCAACTTCAGAACTTGGGAAAGATGGACACATTGGTGTACTGGTGACATGGAGCGGCCCATAGTAAAAAGTGAGTCTCTAAAATGGGAATGGATATCTTATTTAATTAGTGACCGTGCCACCTTTTGGGTCCACACTGGGGGAGCTCTGTAAGATCATCTTTACAGATAAGGGTTACCACCTTTTACCTGAACAATCTGATTGCATGCAGGCATTGTTCAGGTATTTTGAGAGCCAGCTGGGCCGACTAGCAAGATACTGAAGCTTAGCCCAACGTGAGATTCCTCCATCCACACAGTTTAGCGTAGATGGCGGAATCTGTTGCACTTTTTCCATCTGACCTTAGAAAATCTATAGGTGTATGGCCATCTTAAGTGAAATTACATTATGTATGGTTAATCACTTTGGTGTATTCTTTTGATTTTGCATCTCGTGATACTTATATACAACTATATATACACTTCTTCTGTGTGCCTCATTTTTCTCCTGATGAAGCGGATTTTTCCGAGAAATGCGTAGAGCTGAATCCCATCCGAATATCCAGACTGTAACAAATTATAATGTATATTGTAATATAGGTTACTTTGGGATACTGCATATGTCCTTACTGGATACAGTTGATATAAGGTCATTTTTGGGGGTTTGGGATACTATACTGAGGCTAAAATGTGATGGGAGCTATTTTTATTGATGTACTGTTTGCGTAATTTATCTTTTTATGATTTTATTGATTGTTGGAATATATATATGTAATAAAATGCAATGTAAATTGATCCAATTGGTCTTAGTGGGTGCCTCAAAAGTCTGTTATTTATACATACTCTTCCTCCATTAGCTTCATTTTCATGCATTTTTATACTTCATGCATTTTTTGATTTGGCCAATGACATGCAATGTCTGCTGTGACATCATTACATGTCCATTCCTAGTCCCTATCCATTGCAGCATATAATGTATGTAAATTAAATAAAGGAAAGTATTCTATTTTTCATATTCTTAGTACCTTACAGTAGTATTAAATTTACAAATGTGTTTTTCAATAATGAATCCAGATCAACAAATATACATTGCCCAGCAAAATATTACATTTTTGCCAAAGCAATTACAGTTATCTTGTGTAGCTCCATCTAAAATGTCGCTATCCAATTTAGAAATATCTGGACTGTAACCAGCCTAGATACTGATAATTACTCAGAGTTCTGCATTCAACAGGTGTCCCTGAGTTTGCTGGATCGATTGCTCCTCCTGTTGCTAAAGAAAAGGGAGCCTTGGCATACAGTGAGGGAGGATCCATCCTCAGACTATGACCATGCACCTGACCCTAACCAATCCCTGAGTAGGATGACTCAGAGGTATGGCTGAGGGATGGTAATAAAAGGTTTGGGGACACTGTGCAGAACTCTTTTCCCTTCCTGGGGCCTCTCCCTAGGAGGTCTCTGTGATACAGATGACTGGCCTGGGCCTCAGCACATGGCAGGTGCTGGGGGCCTAGAGGACTAAGACACCACAGATACTTTGCTTTGGCCCCATACACGTGACAGGTGATGGGTGCCTTGTTTTAAGAGGGTACTACTACTAATCTGGAGTGCTCCTTGGCAAGTGGCAGATGCTGAGGGCACAGAGATTCCAGATACTTCTGAGAAAAGACCTGATGGAAGCTAGGCCGGAGGTGGAGTCTTCTTGATGAGGGGTGCCGCAGAGGAGCTGGTGAGAGCGACCGTCTGGGACCCACAAGAGAGATCCCTCACCCTATTCCAGGTATAAAGAAACCATTGGTCACTCTGATCGGATCACGGTGCTATTGGCCTTAGCGGTTGCTAGGGGAGAAAGCAGTCCTCTGAAGAATCCGCCAGGGCATCCTACAGACCCCAAATCCTCTCTCCTGTTAATCTCTGCAAATAAATCTACAAAAAGACCCTAAGACTGTAGTCCATTCTGTCCGTGAGTGTTGGTGTGCTGTTGCTAACCAAAGAGGGCTGGTGGCTGGAGCAAACAGGTAGGAGAACCTATTTCATATACAGCGGCTCCTTCAGGGTCGAGCGCTACACTTGTTTCTGAACAGCTGGCTCCAATTTTCTGTGCTCATCTTCCTAAAACTTCCTTTTCAGTACAAGATGACAAAGGACAGAGCCGACTGCAGCTAGTATCCATCTAGTAGCTTGGAGACAGGAGGTGGGAGGATTGAGAACAAGAGCAGGGAGCAAGGAAGTGGCTTGCCTTGCTGTGACTGTGTGTTAGTGGAGACACACACCACTTATTATTACACACAAGGGTGGCTCCATAGGACCCTGCAAGGGAAAGGAGCCACCCTAAAACAGGATATCAGGGCCAGTGCTCAAGGGACCAGCTGATTCTGCAGGAAACTAGTGGGACACGTTTTAAACATCAAGAAGCATCAATCATTGTAAGTGATTTAATCAGCATTTAAAAAAAGTTTGACTTTAAAGAGGAATTATGGGAAGAGTGAAATACATTCATCCCCATTATTAGAGCCGACGTGTGACACAGATTGAGAACTGAGCGATCACATACCTCTGATCGCTCAGTTCCCAATATTCTCCTTGCAGAGACTGAGGATTCCCCCTCCCCTCTCTGTTTCTCCAGCGCTGACTGGATGGGCGGACAGGGAGGGGGCGGGCATGGCTGGCTCTGCCTCTAGAGAGGTAGAACCAGCTGTCAATCAGGTGGCGGGGTGGATCTCGACAATACTGCCAGGATCTTTCCCGACCACAGTGCAGCTCTGCATTGTTTTTGGACACCGGAGGATATAGTAAATGTCCTTCTATGACCCTAAAGAGAACTATAGCCAACAAAGGTTGGGCCATAGTTCTCTTTTAATATCACTTTAATGGCAGCATACATGTATCATATGCTGGAATAGATAGACACCAGGAAAAGAAACTTGCAGAAAGGTAAGTATTCAAATGTCATGTCCACTATGCAGTGTATTTTGACAGTGGCCACAGCTATTGCCACACTTTTGATGGAGGAAGAGGAAGCGAAGATACTGGGTCCATCCACAGAAGCCAATGACCATGTATAATGACCTCCATGCACATCTGACACTTGCAGAGCCTCACCTAGAATTATGGAGGAAAAAGCTGTCTGCTTCAATTCTGAAGCTGACAGCTTTTTCTCCATTCAGATCGGCATCTAACAGGTTACAGAGCAGGGAAAGCCTCCCCGCTGTGTAACCTGTCATGGATGAAGCGCTGCCTGTTACTTACAGGCAGCGCTGCATCTGGCTTTTGACAGGTAGTTAGTGAAGGACAGGGAGGCTCCTCCCTGTCTCCTCCTTCACACTAGGTTGGGGGTGGGGCTTCATCCGGCTGTGGGCGTGACTTCGCCCCGACGGGTGCTTGAATTCTGCCGACCGAGCAGGGGGAATGCCTCACCCGGAATATGAGGTACCACACGTCACTGACTTGCAGCATGTTTTTATTGGTGAGATCATACAGCAATATCCTTTTTCTGACCATCCATCATGCTGCAACCTTCTCCGTCCATCTCCTCTGTAGCCTGTTTAAGTAGAAGTTGATAGGAAAGAGCCCTGTTATTATGCCAAAAATGCTGAAACAAATATACATGCATGTTTGATGTGGTTTCATTGAAATCTACTGGACCAAAAACACACTTTGCCGCACCAAAAGAAGCACATAGAGCATTTTCAAAAATGCACAATAGCAAATCGTATAGATGTGAAAGGCCACAATTGGAAATAATAGGATTTCTCTTATTATACATTTTCACACGAGAAATCACACAATGTGAACCTGGGCTTAAAAAGGATGTGAACTCTAGTAGTTGTGTCTAAAACAGGCGAGCAAAGGACTAGTCACCGGTATTACTATTATTATTACATAGTATTTATAACGAGCCAACAGTTTGTTCAGCGCTTTACAGTATAAGGAAGACATTACAATCACAATACAATTCAAGACAAGATGGTAAGGAGGGCCCTACCCCTGAGGGCTTACAATCTAAAAGGGGAGAGGGAAGTGATACATGAGAAGATAGCTGTGTGGGAATTAATTGTTTTAGAACGTGATGGCTAAGTGGTTAGGTTGAGGTGGGATAGGCTCCCCTGAAGAGATGAGTCTTTAGGGAAAGCATAAAGGCAGTCAAGGTAGGAGACAGACGGGCAGGTTGGGGTAAAGAGTTCAAGAGGATGGGAGAGACTCTAGATAAGTCCTGGAGGCGAGTATGGGAGGAGTTGACGAGGGAGCTGGAAAGCAGGAGGTCTTGGGAAGAGAGAAGGGGACGGTTAGGGTGATACTCTGAGACAAGGTTTGAGATATATCCGGGGGCAGAGTTGTGGATGGCTTTATAAGTGAATGTATTGCCTATGGTCTCCCAGCAGCTAATCTTTTCTCCATTATTGACTTATCATGCCTTGTTCTACACTGTGGGTTGAATTAACAAAGTCAATCAGACAACAGGGTGGATCCATCCCGGCTGCGGCGTGGCTCTGCTACATGCTGAGTTTTGGGTCATCGGAAGAAATTAGTATATGTCCTTCTGTGACCCTGAAAAGAACTATGG